CATACTTATTGGCTGTCAACCCAAAAATGAATCAATGTTGATTCAGTTTTCAAGTTAATATAATTATAATATTGTGTCTCGACTCTGAAAGCAGCATAAAAATGACTCAAATTATTTGATATTTTTGGCACACTCGTGTGTTGATCACAATATCCGGCCCACTCTGTGTTTGTGTGACCGTGAATATGATACTGAACCGATCGCTAGGCCCATTTCGAGTAATACGAAAATAAGGTAAATTAAAGGACCATATCTTATATTTCATGATTATGACTGAAGTACAGTAAACTATTCACACCCGTCTTCATACAATAATGTTTCGGTGAAAAAGAACCCTCCTTTTCAGGCCGACTGTTATCCAACGCTGTTAATTTGAACTCTCATTATCCAATGAGTGATAATAGGTTAGATAAATTATTTTATGGCGTACTCGTTCAAGGCATTAATACAGCATCCTCATCAGTTTGTGATCCATTGGTATAATTTCAAAACAGCCTTGATGAAATACCCTTTGATGAAAAAACACTACGTTATTCGGTGGCGAATTGATTACGTTCGATGCATGGAGTTATGAGCTATAATCGAACGAACCCATGCGATTCCATTTGCGTCCACATTTTTACTCAATAACCGGATTGGTTACGAGCAATCCAGAATCAGTGTGAGTATTTCGCATACCATTCACTCCATGGGAAGGTAATTAACCAACGCGGGGTACTAACCAGTATCAGTGAATGATTTCGTTCGGGCTTCCATTACATGTCATCCATCTTGCGCAGATGACTGGCATTCCACTCGAAGCCGATCGATGAGAAAGTACTTGGTGAAGTACATGACCGTAGCGACTAATTAATAGGTTAGATAATTTACTGAGATCACGTGATTTGTGTTTCGTGTACGATGATGGAAGATTAGATCTTCATGCGGATGAGTTGGACTATCGCGACCGATTATGGGAGAAATCTAATGGCTACAACATTTAGGGTAGAATGGAACTAGTCCCTTTAGCCAAATGTTTTTAGGAGAAAAGATAAATGTGACCGTGCGTCATTGTTAGTGACTTTTTGACTGGGTCAGATTTTCTCTTCATAGGTTATTGTGCAGTTCAACCAGAATCAACTGACCAATGGGATTATTTAGTCGTTTTGAGAACGATCAAAATATGTTCTGCTTTCGTCCTATACATTTGAATTTTTCCGAATGAAAGCATACTTTGTTCCTCTCAGAATCTTCGGAATAATACACCAAAAGAATGTAGTTCTTTGCTAACCACAAAAATGCAGATGGAAGAGTTTTTCACTTCATGTCGTTCAAGAATCGTCACTCATAGGTAAGCATTTAAATTCAAACAAATCCGTGTGGTATCATCACATATAATCAATATTGTAGGGCCAGTTAAGTTTATTGCGTTCAAGATTCAGAACTTGGAAGTCAGCATTAAAAAGGAATCGCGAAAAACGTCAGTTGCTTATTAGCAACTCAAACTGATACTGGCACAGTCCCCCACTACGCATTTCCCTTTTCGGATTCAGGATTTCAGTAGTGTTTTCGGTTTCATTTTTTTAAACACAATCCATGAGTTCAGTGAAAACATTCCTCATATTCGCACAAAAGAACTTTTTTAATTACTTCTCTAACAGTTGATAAACATTAATGTTTGTCAAAATGTTTTAGTACTTCTGAAACACGTTGTTTTCGCCAATTTACTTACATATTTGTTAATAAGCTTTTATGTTGCTCTATGGAGCAGCTGAAAACGATCCCTGCTCAAAATGCGAGCGAGTTGGCATGTGCGGTGCACCTGTTTAAGCTGCATAAGGCCATGTTAGTTATGAGTCTTTGCGGTTTTAAAAACACAGTAAATATCAATTTACTGGTTCAGTTATAAAATGTGTAAGTATGGGCGTTTGTCTTTGTCACTGCAAGTTCCAGTTGCTTATCGCAGTTTACAAACGATACAATTGAAGCAGATAAACTATAGTAATTCAAAAAAATCTCTTGGTCAACATGATAACTTCCAAACAGAGTTAACGAAAGAAGATACGTTTGAAGAATGAGGAATAGCGATTTTCTGTGTTTGAACCCACCATAAAATTGCTTCACGTTACTAAACCATGTACTTCACGTAAAATTGGTGAGTAGATGACAGGATATATGATGATGTGAGATTAGCTCCAAAGTAGCTCTATCGAATATATCCCTGTGGCTAACATAAGAACGGACAAAGAATCATTTGGACTACTTTCTTTATCTTCAAAGTGGATATTTTTTCAGTTAGGTATTTAGATTATCATTGTTTGTGGCTGTTCTCCAATTCATGTCTTTTCCTAGTACCTCAATTCCAGAATTATTTCAGTTAAATAGAATTTAATCTACAAGCACCAACGCCATTCACCTTGCCCCCCCCCAGTAATTTCAACCATTTTCTACATGAACTGATACCTGTGTTTTGGGTTACAATAACTGGAACGGATATTGGCACTGCCTATGGGTGGTACAAGTCGATATCTGTTCAAAGTTTGCAGATCAAGGTATCCATGACCGCTCATGTGCATCGCTTGATACTTCAATTCGATTCACGCACATAGGACCATATGGCTTCTCCGCCCTGATTGCGGTCGTTATGGTGATCTTTGACAGTTTCCGCCAACATCCTGGCAAACACAATCCTGCTCAGATAGTGTAGCAGCTCGAGAGGTTTCCTGGCCGTGCGTGCCAATTACTGAAATGTTAGTGCCTAGCTGATGCGAACCATCACGCAAGTCCCTGGAGGAGACTCACTTGGACGAAACCACTTCGCGATGAAAAGGCAACCTGGATGGCGGGTTGCGAAAGGCGATGACTGTTGTGATCAAATTTCATCCGTAAGTTAGCAATGTAGGTGAAATCTGTTAGAACACTTTCTAACAGTTTCCTCGAAAGTTTGGTCAAGCTAGATGTGTGAATCGGATAGGTTGTAAACATGGTGCTGCCTTCGCATTTTTTTACCAGCGAATCTCTGATGCGTGCCAACAAAGATCGCTTTGAACACGACAGATCTTTAAGCACCCCTAGTGGATCTGAAGGTCTTTGTCGAGCTACAATATGCCGAACAAGCCAACTTACCGTGAAATCGGTAGATTTGTAATTCAGTTATTTCGGAATGCAATGTGTTAAATTCGTTTCTGCTGCCAAAAACGTTTACACGCCTTATTTCACACCCGTGATTGACGAGCAGTTGAAAATATGTAAAACCAGAACGCGCCTATACGCACAAATGCCAAACAAAGCAGATGCATGCAACATCAAGTCTTGGACGTGCAGGGAACCAAGACAAAATATGCGTTAACTCACTGTTATGACCGCGAGCATGTAAACAAGAGCTAACAAATGAAAACCCAATCCCGGCTGACAGATGACGTAATACGGTAGGACTGGCGCACACAGTGTTAAGCATTGAAACAAATGAATTTTTCGCAAGCCCCAGATTAGCAAATACAGTCAACGAGCGATGAATGACTACTGACTGCTACCCAATCGGGTTTGCTTCGTGGTTGAGTCGAAGAAAAGCCCACAGAAATGTACAGTATACACCCTACTTAACTTTTTAAAAACGTCTACTCGTCCAGCAACAAACGAAAAATGTGAAACAAATGTTTTTCAACCTTCATCGATGCCTCGCTATATGTTTTGTTCTGTGACAAAACGATTTTGGGTTTGACAAAGTGACTGATATTTTCAAGAAATATAATACTCAGCGCGCATCTTGACTGTAAGCTACAACGGTGTGAAAAAACGTGCTTGGTGTTACTGCCCTAATTGCGTGGATTTGTTCGAGACAGCCTTAGAAAGGTGCAGATTATCCGGATGCAATGTATCGCAGTGACTACTCACGAGCTGAAAAAAACATAATCCTAAGTTCCAATCCAGTCTCGGTACAATAGCTTCATAAACATAGATTTATCCAACGAAACTGGAACAGTGTCTCACACGGAGCTGCAATAATAAGTCAAACGTGATTTGCCTTAGCTCAATCTAATTTATCAACGAAGGATTATTTTGTAGGTCATTATGCTAATAATCAGCAAAGAGAACACGTGTCGCAATGCCAGCCTTACGGAATATTGTGAATTACGGTGTATTTTTGTGAATACAACCGAGGATTTTAGCTACTCCTAAACCATCAACTTACATTTAGGGTAGCGCTGTGTTGTAGTCATTTGATTGTGCACAGATCCAAACTAGGGCGATAATTCACGTTGGAAATTCCCTCACCGCTAATGTACACACACATACATACACACCATATCGATCTTAGTACAGACTTTAGGATAGTAAGCAGATGGCTGAATATGCAGACTTAAGATACCCCTATGTTCAACTCCGGCTTCAATAAAAAGATCGATTTATTATCAACATTCTGTCTAGTCCCATCAAAAACCTTAATTCTTTTAACAGTTTCGCTGCATTGGGATGTTATTTGCAATGCTAATGTTTGTCAAGATGACAAAAGGTCCTTGTTCAGGCATTTAATTCAATATCTGACAAAGTGGAGAAATAGCTTTACTGCGTTGCTGGAGGATGTCAGTGATCAATCAAAATAGTTGGCTGGCCATTCAAACGGGTATGAACATTGTGACTTTTTCAGTGTTGAATAAAATATAGATCACATTTTTCTGTGGAATGTTTTCATGTGGTGTGAGCGTTTCAGAGAGAATCTCTCATCAATGGTGTTTCATGCGAAATTTCATCACATGTTGTTCGTCGTCAAGTTATCCAGTCCAATGAGTGTGATCGATGAATTGTCTGTGTGACAGCTCTCATACATTGGTGAATTGATGATGTCGTTCAGACCGGTCGGGTAGCAGTATTGTGATACGGAACTTCCGTAGGAAGACAAACTCACCCTCCCGGACGTTTGTGGTTCGTTCGCTACCGGAAGAGTTTGATGTAATCTTGACTCAGTTAGACTATTATGTGTTGGCTCAATTGGTTTGTAATCTGTGTGATCAGATTGTGGTTTAACCGGTGAAAATGATGTAGTACTCAAAGTGATCAGGGGTAATAACGCGGGTGTGTTCAGCGATTGGCCTTGGTTCTCTTTGACTNCGACGTGACCCAGTCGTAGTGGACATGCTTAACAGCCGTCGTAAAGTTTTGTCGTCACAAGTGACCTCACGAAATAGTTCCCGATCACGCATGAAATGAAACGCGATTAGGTCGCACATGATTGTGGCACCACTGAGCAAAGCCAGACCGGAACCAAAACGCATGGTGAATGAGAGCAGATTGAATTTGCCTGCTTGACCGGTCACCCGAATCAGGAAGGCGATCCCATGTGAGTTCAATAGCAGTCGATATCTACCGGTTCCATTCTGTCCGTCATGGCCAAAATGGATTGTCAGTTCCTGATGAGAACCCTCAGCTAGTCCGGCACCTTTGATCAACTGTGACTGATTCACATCTGGATTGTAGTCTAGCTGACGAAAAGCATATTGAGGTAGACAATGCTCAACAGACCAATCCAAATCGCAAGTCCAATCGATCGTGATGGCGATCACCCCACCAAAATAAATCATTCTGTCTGGATTCGCTCCAGCAAGACGAAGCATATCATAGACACGAAAAACCGGGCAGTATTGGTTCAGTGGACTTACAGGATCGTACATACATGAGTGCAAATAGTCCTCGGTCATCCATTGTAAAATATTCCGACGCTTCACATCAAAATAGGGAAACTCGATTGCATTTCGTATAAACAGTGTGTAGTTTAGTACATCAAAAAACGGTGGGACCAATTTGAGGTTACTTGGCTCCCAGGCAGAACGATGTCGTTGGATAAACTCCAAATCAGTAAAAAATGTATAGGGTTCCATCAAAATATTGATTGGAGTAATCACACGTGACGAGGACGCCACACGTCCGAGTGAGGTTTGATTTTCAGCCCGGACGGGACACCAGCCGTAGATTTCACAAACTTGCATTGCCTGAAGGCAACGACCCGTAAACACACCATGCCCATCATCATTCAAATCAATATCTTCAATGCTGAACATGCGACCATCTGGTCCGTAAATGGAATGGCCGGCTGTTGTACCAGGTGTACAGTGTGCATCTGTTAGACAGTGGGCGTCCGGCAAGCTTGTTAATTCGGCACAATAGCCCAATTGTTGTATGGCTTTCGCGGTTATTCGAGTAGTTAAATACACACCGGAATTTTGTAAAGACCGTAAATTGTAAGCTCCGTTATCCACCAACGGGCCACCCGGAGTAAATCTGTCCGATCCGACCCAGGATACGCCACTCACTTTGGCCGTGACACCGCTTAGAGCCCGGTCAAATGATTGATATCCTTTGTTCCACCACATGACAAAAATCACAAAATAAGTCAGAATGGATAACTGAACAAGACGGAACAGCAATCCCAGTGCCGGATTGCGTATATGCACAACTTTAGGCATCTCAAAGACAAACATGACTTCGGTGAAAAACCCGCGTAACCCGGCGGTGATTACCGCTGTGCTGATACGATGCGGTCTTTTCCGAGCGAAAATAAATCGGCTACCTGAGTGGGCTGCAATCCGAGTCATGTTTGTTTCTGCTTGATAATGATGATTGGTGGGAAAATCAGGGCACATGACTGCTAATTAACCATTACAATGGAGCACTTACTTCGGTCGTCCTCCCGTTGTTGATCCTGGTCTGCTCTGTGTGTGCGTCTGTGTGTGTGCGTGTGCGTGTGTAGCGGGGTGTGTGGCCACTGGAAACCTGCATGTGGACAGATATATCCTTCCCTTGAAAGCGCATCGGTCCACCTGCCTAAGATAGCACATTTATGATCAAAGACTGCGAACCATTTCATGAGTCCATTTGACAGATACTGGTGGACGGGGACAATCGAAGTGGGTTATCAGTTCAAAAACCTTCTCCTGATTCAATTGTTTTGAGTCTATGACTACCACCCAATTATTTGCTTGCCATTCCCCGTGCTCTTTTTCCTCTTATTTGTTAGTTGGTTGGTCACAAATTTCCCCTGATTGACCAACGAGCGACGAGAGAATTTGTAGATACGACCGCACGTTAACGTGCAAAACCAGTTTCCTACTTTTGTGGTAACGGCCTATGGATGTGCATTTGGACTCCACTGGACAATCCCACTGCATAATTGCAGCTTTTTGTGTCAGTTCCTCCCAATCAGAGTAGAAAAAGAAGACATTAACTGGAAAGAGTATATTAAAAAAAAAAACTAGAGCGTTGACAGAAAATAAATTGGAAAAAACAAAAACCTAAACCAGCGCGGTGTAAACAGATTGGGAGGATAATAACAATATTAATGTAAAAATTACGAGAGACGTGCTATCAACAAGCGGATAGGCAATTTTTATTCGGATACATTTCATGGGTTGCTTTTACTACAAAATTCATTATAATCACATTATGGCACGGTTCACATGAAAATCTGAAGTGATCAGTGCTATGCACAAGTAACTTTAAGAACTGTTTTGCTTAGATCAACTGCCGCCGTTTATTAATATAATAATATTAACATAATCTTATCCTTTCTCTCTTTAGGTTTGCAGCATTTTGAGGCCGCTTTCAGTTTGAAAAAATAAAACCCCGCTACATATTTTGGTTCATCTTTCGCTCGTGGTTTATCTCATTACGATCAATGAACCTTTCTAAAGAAAACTATCTAGATTTTATATTGAAACCAAGCAGTCTGACAGGCCGATCGAGTTTTTCATGTTCAACTCTCATCCTCAGGATTTTTATTTCTCTAAGTAACAAAACCGGAATAACGATTTTCCGTCCTCGGGTTGAAACACACCAGAATAGAGCACTGGGATAGTCAGCTCTATATGATAACCTGTTTGCTCAGTCATGACCTTTCGCATACCATATACGTACTATTTAGTTTGCCACCAGAAGAAAACTTACCCTCATGTTCCGTCGCTTCTAAGCGAGAGAACGTGACCCCATGTGAGATAAATCAGTCCGAGGAATTCAGGGACCACCTTCCAACAACAAACCTCATTTCTGAAACGGGATCCTTTTTGTAAGAGGGTTCATTCTATGAAATGGTGGTGTAATGGGGAAAATTCAAAAGAACAGAAGATCTAACATTTTGAAGAAACATTTGGAGAAATTCTTTGTTAGTTCACTACTTTGGGTAATCTTAATCACTCTCATGTCACCACCTAACCCGCAACGAACTAACTTTTGTTTCGACAACTGAATAGACCAAACTGTTATTGGACCCCAAGAGAAGCAAAGTTCACACACAATATCAATAATATTTTGATTTGCTGGAATCACCGGCAGACCACTTCTTGACACATTTATCAGAATTGTTTTAACAGTTTCTTTTTTGTGCTTTGAAAAGGTGTTCCATTGTTGAAGGTTCGTATAGATTATTTCAGTCCACAATAGAACCATTCCTTTGCGGCTGCTGACTGAACGAACAGGACTAACGGGTATCGCGATATGACTACCAGTTTCTCTTTCAGTTTGTCTACCGATCAAGTTCATATATTACTGATGCAGTCACTCATATGGCACATTTTAGTGCATCCAAATGATACGATAGTGCGGACATCACCATTTTTACATTTTTGAAAACATTTTCGAGGCACTCAACCAAGACGTTTCTTCCCAGTCTAAGCTTAAACGTGATCTACAACACGTTTTGAGTAACGGTTCCGTAAATCGAACTCAAGCAACTTTATTTACTTGAGAAAAATGTCACCGTTAAACATTGACTCCTACGTCGATACGATGATTTCAAGTATACTAAAAATATGCCCATTATGTGTTCCTTCTCTTGTGAATAAAACATCCACCCAACCTAAGTTAGTCCAGGCGAATGATCTGTTTTCGCTCGATTTCCTCGCCAACAATTGCACCTTAGTTCCATTTGACAAAACATTTAGCTACCGCCATCAGATATTGTTTATTTATCTAGCTCTGACGACCAGGCCCATAAAACTTCCTTTTCAATGTGCTGGCAACAGCAGGAGCATATTGGTATCTTTCTTGTTATCTGACATTTTTTATACCAGTGATCGAATTATGGAAGGAATCACTTGTGACGGAGGAACCTCGGTGCACCGTATCATGGACCACATATCAAATTTCAGTGTATCTCCCGACTTGTTCATGGTTGATCGTACTCCCAGGCTCAGTCTCTAAACAGAAAAACCTCCACACAATAGTTCTATTTAAAATATATTGTGGTTTTAATGTCTCTCTTCGATATCAATATTATGTCTGGAGTTTCTCTGGATAGTTGTGAAGTTAGAATGTGCCAATGAGAATAATTACTCAATAGACCAGTTATTATGTTTCAAAACACCTAATAACATTAGCTACAAATAGTTCCAAAGGAAAAAGATCATTCAGTTTTTCCAGACTCCAAAGAAACAAGTCACAAAAATGTTATTTGCCTAATGCCTAGATTTCATATTTCGCATAAGCTATAAGAAAATAGGCATATGTATATAACACAACTTGAAACGAAACTTTTACTTCGGGGGTAGGTGAAACTCGACGGCGTGCTGCCATTGTTGTTTCATTTGAACTGGGAGTAATAATAGATACGTGGACCATTGATCATTTATTGTTTGTAAAACTGATTGATTGCTTTTTTGTCTGTTTGCCTCATGCAATACATTTTTAGAAGAGAAGAGTTCAACTATTTTGGATTTCTCTGTATGTATCGATAAGTTTAGAGTCCAGTTAAAACTATTTACAATCAAGCCGACATTATTCGTCAGTTCCATTCGACCCCAATCCCTCTCCAAGGCAATCGTTTTTCATATGTAAACAATGTAATTCTTTTTGCATAGTGAACAAACCACCCGCATTATGATTTGACGAGGACAGATAAGTGTGGGTCTGGAGTGACCAAAAGCACAGTTAACATAGTGTATTAGAAATACCGTTATCAACTATGCACTATCTCAGTTGTCTTCCTACCCTCAGCGCGTCCAACTACATTCTGTTGGATACGTAAACAAGATCACTATTGGAATACTTTTTTCGTTTCTTTAGTCACGTGATTTTTAGTGTACAACTGGTGATCTACACCTCGTGAGATTATGGGCTTCAGCAGCAAAAACACTGTGATTCTGTGTTTAATTGCATCTCCTTAGGTTACCAATTACACGTCGATTCCGTTGGTATGTATGTGCCTGTATCATTGTGCTTACGCGTGCTGTGCTGCTCATGTATCTAGACGCGTGCTGTGAGGGGTGTGTTACGGTTACGGTCCATCTCGGTCTTTCGCGCGCGCTCGCTGGCTGGCTGGCATCGATCAGGTGTTCACCACTTGACGCGCGCATATGCTCGAGTAGCGTTAGCGTACGCGTGGGTGCCTCAGCTGTTCTCAACCCGGTCCAGACAATCATGAGACCAAAGGTCTAGGCCTATGCGCCTGTACAACGAGAATGACGAAGACCACCTGATCAGTGGTGGACTGACACAAAAGGGGACCAAAAATCAAGTCCGTAATTGTCGAATCACCCCGTTTGCACACGAGATTCAAGCCAGTTCGAAGGTGCATATACCGAGAAAAACAAAAATGCAAACTAAGAGAACCATGAGAACATTTGCATGCAGCTGCCTGTGCTCCTCTATGCATACTTAACATCAATCCGGTACACATCCGATCTGAGCGGGAGCGAACGAACCAGTGGTTTGATTCGCGCTATCCTTTCGTTTCGTTTGCCCTCCTGCACTAACGTGTTCTCATCCCGCCGTATCGTGAAGCACTATGGGTTTTCTCAAAATGGACGAAGCTCCCGGTTATCATCATGCAATTGTACTCTCTCCGGCCACATACGCTCGACATATGTTCCCTGAGGATATAGCTAGAAATGAGGCATTTTGGAAAAGTGAAGATTCTGCTTGGCATCTTGCCACACAGCTGATGAGTCGTTATTCCACTTTGAATGTGCTTGGATTTCGTGCCTCCTTTCCAATCCCACCGGATGTTTGGTCGGATGCAACTAAACTGAACGCATGCTTCTTCTCACAGGCCAGTCGAATTATCATACTGGTTCCCAGCGATGCGGAATCACACATTGTCACATTCAGTCAAACGTGCCTGTGTCCTCTGTTGACCAAGACAGAAGAACAGGGAGGTCATCCCGAGTGGAGAGAACGATTTGTCGCCGCAGTCATAGGAAACGTGAGGGTTCCCACAGAATTGGCTCCTGGAGTTCCTTTTATTAAAGTTGTTCGATTCAGAGAAATCGGTTGGGTACGTGATATCACTGCCATGATGTTGTTGCAACGCGCCATCCAAGGTACGTTTAATCACCATGGATGCGAACTATATACAAATTTTAATCTCGCCGGAACTCAGTTAATCACATTATTCATGGCATGCTTCATTTTTACATTTGTACGTGTAAAATCACCATTTTAAGTGAATGATATCTGAGAGGTATCCCCTGTGAGTGAAGCTAGCGAAATATTTTTCTAACACTACGTGGTCAAACTATCTTTGCGAATAACGGAGGTCTAATTGAAAAACCAACTAAATTGTTTAATTGTTGGGGGACAACGGGAAAACGTCAAAAACCACGTTTAAGCAATCGCCAATACGTAGCCGACTTCTCCTGTGTTTCTGAATAACCGCATCTGCTACTGGCTACCTCAGGTTACTATAAATTTCATGTACCATTGTACAATGTTTCACTAAACGATTGATCACTACTTTGTGGCATATCCTAAGACTTGATTTCTGGGCACAAAGATCACATACGTTTTGTGATTCACAAAATCGCAAGTCGACATTATGTTCATGTGTTGTCCGTTCATATCATGATAGTTCTTAAGTTACCTGCAGTGGTAAGAGTTATTAATTTGCCAAAGAGAAACGGTAGGACGAAATGGATTATGTTCTTCTCCCTTCAGCTTTTCGAAAGTCCTCATGTTTAGTTCGTTAGCCGAAAAACAGTTAGCCACGGTGCAACCGGGGATAGCATTAGCTGGTTTTTAGTAAAATCATCAACATAAGGAGAAGCGTCTGATTCCTTTACACCTTTATTGATTTTTTTCGGATTCAGCATCATCTTCAATATACACATTTTAATTAATTAATCTTGTCAGCAAGTTTAAATTAGATTATTAAGATCCGTATGTGAAAGTAATATACTTGAAATTTGACAAGTAAACAGGTATCTTTCTATTAAAACCACCGTAATGTATGATGATAGTCAGCAGGTAGTTTGGAAAATACTACATACCAATGTGTTGTGGTCAGACTTTTGAGTATTGATTGTGTAAAGTGATGAAAATTACACGTTATTCCAAAATGCTACTATTTGACGAATGAAGCTTTCCCGTTTCAGAACTCACACGAGAAAGCTATTCTTTCTCAAACCTTCATTTTAATTCAAGTTAACATCATGCTGGGAAATAAATTAACTGAAAAAGAATCTTGCACTATTATCCAGCTTTCGGTAGCTTGTTTTATCATCATGCGCGTATTTATGTTATTCTTTTATGGTTTGCATTTTGTTCCCGATAACTTCGGTTGAGAATCCTATTTGGGGTCGTATAACACGTGACCTTGATCGAACGTAAAAACTCAGCTATTTAGTACATGGTTCATTCATTATCGATTGTTCAAAAGTTTCAAGCGCTCAAATTGCTCACTTTTAATTGATTCATAATCCAGCAGTATTTTATCGGAGCTGCATGGATGACACGATTGTCTGAATCCATTTGGACTTGGTTTTTCTAATGTTAAAGCAATACGGGCAGAAACTGTATCTTTCAAGAACAATTGGCAAACCTTTTCTGAATAAACATTAGCCGACATCCCGTCAATTACTTTTAACGAGCATAGGGAGAACTGTAGAAATACAGCATGTATTTTACAACAACTGCGATATTACTTAACTAATTCTGGGTTCTATGTGGACATTTTTTGCGAAAATTCAGGCTTCCGAAAATAGATTCTGAATTCGAGCCAATGTTCACCATATGTTCACAAATATCTCGCTGATGGGCTGTTTCTATGGTAAACCGTGAGCGAGTGATTGAGATACAAGCTCTATCTGGTTATGCCGAATTGGCTCCAGCTTTTCATTCCGGACCAAGTTAACTAAAAGAAGAGGATGCGTTTAAAAATAGCTGTACCATTCGAAAGTGATTCTTGGCAGTTGACTCCTAAGAATTGCTTGGACCTGTCGAATACACAAGCAGTTTAAAAATGACCTGCCATACCACAGGATTTTCACAACAAATATAAACGGATGATATGAGAATGACACCCTTTACTCATCACGTGCTTCTGCTATTGGAGCATCCTCACAAGATTGACACTGAAGAACAGACATTGCTCTTACCGACTCACAACAGCAACGAAAGGGTGCACAAATTTTTCCATCGGATAGGTGGCAATTCACACTAGAATATCGTTACTTCTGTCTGTGTAAAACTGGTTTCGTTCCTTAGTCGATTACCAAAAGATTGAAGACAGGTCGCATTGGTAAAGCCATTGGATGACAACTGTATTGTATAAGATCCATGATAAATTTTTTTTTCAAGAGTGTGGCTATTCAAGCATGGCACATTTACATGTGCACGGCAATCAAGCCGAGGCCATCTCAAACATCGCTGCACTTTGTATATTTTTTCACGCCCATTATTGCTTGTGAAAGCACAAAGAGCAACGACCTATCCTTTATACGAAATGGACTGGTCCATTTGTATTTTTTACAAGTTTGGGATTTGATTCGTGTAACCAGAGTCTCATGTAAAAGTTACTTTCAGGTTGCAATTGCGACCACAAGGGTTACTGGTAGGAGGGAAGAGCAGTGTTTGTATGCCTCAATTTAGAGGGTGTCCGGCACATCGATCGCTGGGCTTTGTTGAATTAGGCTAACCGGACAGATGCAGCCGATATAAATATGGCAAATCACGTGATACATACAGGTAGCTGGTCTATTGCGTCGTTCGTTCAGCTTTGTTTTGACAGCCAAAGATGTGTGCCGTGAATGCAAAGACTGTGATTTCGACTGGTTGGTGATTTATTGGTTACTTTTCAATACCCTTTGCATGTCAGCTTTGCAAGTGAACTATAGTATATTGTTAGGCGTTGTTCAGTTCCTTTTAGAGCAGTCGAAAAAACAAATCGATGAAGTAGAACAGAAATAAAGGCTTTAGGACTTCTTTAGGACTACAAAAGGACTGTCTGCTATCTTTAGTTTAATGAAAAACCGAACGATCAAGTTCGATCAACTTCTCACTGAATAGCCTTAAAAACCACACGGTATTGTACAGACTGAACATCAAGAATGGAACTTCGACATAAAGCTTGAAATTAAACTAGTGAAATTCTCCCATCTAATTTCGCGGTTCGTTGAAATGAAGCTCGATAATATCACTATTTTGGCAAATAGCTCTTTACTTTTTAGACTGGAATCGAATGATGGATTCTGGCTCATAGGAATTGATTGTTCTCTACCAATTTTGATACATCGATCGCACAAAATAAACACGTGACTTCTGGTAGCCTTCTGTTGTGGTATGCATGTGTAATTGATTTTTATTGAATCCGAATCGATCAAACCGCACAAAGGAGTATGTAATGCGGAAAATTTGCTATTCATAAAATGACGTAAACTACATGGATACTGAGTCAAAATAATGGTCTACACAGAAATAAAACATAAAAAACATGTAAATGGTGTAATTATCATCCCGATCGATTAATATTAAGCTGTCTTGTTTGTATGAGGTTCTCTCTGGTTTTCTTCTTGCTTTTCTATATGGTTTTAAATTCCTACTTTTTCTTGTAACATTGATTATCAATGTCATATATCACGAGTTGCAAAAAAATGTTTAAAATGAAATTTCAAAGTCAATAATGAAGAGTTCGTTTATTTTAAACTTTCTTCTTTAATTGTGAAATGATTCGAAAAAATGTATCTAATAGCTTCCGAAGTGGGAAACGTCCCTCGGTTTGTCACATTTCGGAATTATATGGCCACAGTGAACAATTTGACGAACAAATCACTGGTTCAATAAATTCAAGTTGCGCCAACGCATAGCAAAATAATTTTTAGTCAGCAAAATTTTTGAAACAGTAGCCAACAATCAATGCTGATTTTGAATATACATTTTCACGATAAATTAAACGGAGCACATTCAGTCAGCTGAACTACGAAATCACACTGACTGCACTGATCTTTACCTAACGGAGGTAAATGATACCCACCAACTGGCATGCACGCCGTCTGCCCAAACAAGTCCACTTTAGAATTTTCTAGAACATACCGATTGAATTCCTGGGCTGAGTTGCTTATTTAAGGCGCGTTGTAAATAGCAGAATCAGATAGTACGATGCTCTTGTTATGGAAAGATAAATAACCTCGGTGGAATTCGAGGTTACACACGGAAGCTGCTTACGCGAAAGAGCTCGCTGTTCTGTCTCAGAGGCCATATAGATGTGATTGATCGCCATTCATTTTTTCACAATTTAAGCCAAAAACTGTGATTTGTCATCCGCTAGAATAAGATGATGATTTGACGTTTTGCAATGCTTGCAATGGGATGTAGGGGATGTTGGCTGGGTAACGAAACTTAAGAAGAATTTAATAACAAATGATATGGATTCTGTCAACTCAGCTGCAACCCAATTCCTATCTTACTGCTATTCTTGACTCATATTTAGAGTGAATACTACAGGTGCAAACCGTGATTTTCCATGGTTTTTGTCCAATAACCATTAATATTAATTCTCCGCTTTATTAATCGTTTTTTACCGGGACGCAATCCTTATTCTTTCATTATGAATAATGTATTTTGGACAATTATGAAACCCAAAAAAAGTGTCATGCAATCTGGTCGTATCGATGCAGTAGCATGGTTCATTGGTAGAACATTCTTGTTGAAGGTTCCACATCTGACGTACTCTACTTTCCATTCCATTGCACAAATGTCATTTCGTTTCCTCAGCCCAATGTTGATCCTTATGGCTAAGTATACATTTTGGTAGACATCTTCGAGTAATCGGGAATTCAGTTGAGCTACTAGTTCGGTTTGTTTACCTTGTGCATTTCACTTCATGGTTGGAATGGGCAAATACGACTGAGAATGCGTGTTTGACCAGAGAATGATCCGATGCTAACATGTCAGTGTATGGCTTTTGGCATGGAATTCACTATTGGTTGACGGGAGTAAACAGTCCGCTATTTGTTAGACAAGTAATAATAATGTCGCTCACAGAACTGATATAATCTGTTCGTGATGGATTGTCTCGTAACGAGTAACCATGCCCACTGATGCGAGT